GTCTTCCATGTGGCTGCAAGAGCTATATCCAAACATGCTCTTTGTATTTTGGCGACCACACTGATGTCATGGGCACACGTCAAACTGGCTGGGCGCAGCTGTCTGGTCACAGCGTCCAGGCATCGATGGACATGGCCTTGGTAGCCCATATTGCCACGCTGAGGAGCTCAGTGCCTTTCGTCAACTTTTTCGATGGTTTCCGTACTTCCCATGAAATCAACAAGATCAACATCATCCCCTACGAGGCTATGGACCAGCTGGTGCCGTGGCCAGAACTGGCCGCCTACCGTTCACGAGGGCTCAACCCCAACAAGCCGCACTCTCGTGGTCTGGGCCAGTTCGCTGATACCTTTTTCCAGAACTCTGAGGCCGTCAACAAATACTACGACAGCACACCTGGTATAGTGCAGAATGTTATGGACGAAGTGGCGCAAGTGACCGGCCGGCACTATAAGAACTTCTTCTATTATGGTCATCCCCAAGCTGAGTATGTTACGGTTATTATGGGATCTGGCAGCTCTACTATGGAGGAGACGGTTAACTATATGAACGCTCGTGGCGAGAAGGTTGGCATAGTCAGAGTTCACCTCTATCGCCCTTGGGATGCTAAGGCATTTGTGAGCTCACTGCCCCCATCAGTGAAACGCCTTGCGGTACTTGATCGTACTAAGGAGCAGACGGCCATTGGTGAGCCGTTGTTCCTGGACGTTGCAGCAACACTGCAGTCTATTGGCAGTACGCTGAAGGTTATTGGTGGTCGCTATGGTCTCGGCTCGAAGGAGTTCACCCCGGCTATGGCTGAGGCCGTCTTCGAGAACTTGAAACAACCTAGACCGGTTGAGAACTTCTCGGTTGGTATCGAGGATGATGTTACCCACAGATCGATCAAGGTTGGCCCCGAGCCGGACGTATCTGCTCCTGGGACCAGACAGTGTCTATTCTGGGGTATGGGTTCTGACGGTACTGTATCGGCCAACAAGAGCGCTATCAAGTTAATTGCTGACAACACGGATCAGTACGTGCAGGCCTATTTCGCTTATGATTCCAAGAAATCCGGTGGCTGTACTATTTCTCATCTCCGTTTTGGCCCTGAGAAAATCGAGTCGCCCTATGCTATTATGAACGCAGATTACATAGCAGTTTCCCAGCGAACGTGGCCCCATAAGTTCCCCAGAGTCATCGTGGAGACCCTCAAGCCTGGCGGTATCGCGGTCTTCAACTCTGCCTCCAAGACTGCTGAGGAGTTCTTGGCTGAGATGCCTGAGGCGGTGATTAACCAGCTGGGCGAGAAGGAAGCTCACATCTACACCATAGATGCCTCCAAGGTGGCCCGTGAGAATGGTCTTGGTCGTCACACTAACAACGTTCTGGCCGCTGTGTTCTTCAAATTGGCTGATATCATCCCCTATGAGAGTGCTGAGAAGTTGCTGAAGGACGCTATGAAGAAGGCGTACTCGGCTAAGGGTGAGGATCTGGTCCAGAGGAACTATAAGGGAGTTGATGCTGCTATTGCCAACTTGGTCGAGATTCAGTACGATCCCAAGGTTTTCAGCACTTACAGTAAGCCGGAAGATGTTGATCCGACTCGCCCTGCGTTCTGTACTGATCTCATGGATCGCCTCAATGCGCTTGAGGGCAACAACTTGCCGGTCTCGTCGTTTGACCCTCGGGGGCACTACCCACCGGCTACAACTCAGTACGAGAAGCGTGGTGTGGCCCTTACTATTCCTATTGTGGACATGGACAAGTGCACACAGTGCAACAAATGCTCGGCTATATGCCCTCACGCGGCCATCAGACCTTTCCTCATCTCACAGCTTGAGGCTGATGTCGCCCCTAAAGCCTTCGACATGCGTATGGCCAAAGGCGGTAATGACGTCGCTGGTATGATGTACCGTATTCAAGTCGCTCCTGAGGACTGCACTGGCTGCGAGGCCTGCTCGTGGGCCTGTCCTGATAACGCTCTTACTATGACCCCATTGGAAGATGTAGTTGAGGTCCAGCGTCCCAACTGGTCCTTCGCTATAAGTCTACCTAGTCGTGGGTATATGGTTGACCGCCACACCCTCAAGGGTTCGCAGTTCCAGCAGCCTATGCTGGAGTTCTCTGGGGCTTGCGAAGGCTGTGGTGAGACCCCTTATGCTAAGCTGGTTACGCAGCTGTTCGGTGAGCGTATGGTCATTGCCAACGCCTCGGGTTGTTCTTCAGTCTGGGCTGGTACTGCTGCCTTCAACCCACTAGCTGTTAACGACAAGGGTCAGGGTCCGGCATGGGGCAGATCTCTCTTCGAGGATGCCGCTGAGTACGGTCTTGGTATGGCTCGTGCCGTCCAAGAGCGTCGTCTTAATCTCAAGGAGAAGGTTCAGGAGTTGGTTGATGACGAGGAGTACAAAGCCTTGCTCAGCCCTGAGCTCGACAATGCATGTCATGAGTGGTTGGAGAAGTACAATGACTCTGTCATCTGCCAGGAGCTCTCTGGTGAGATCCCCGGTATGCTGGAGAACACCAGTGCCCTACGAGAGGTTCCATTGGTCCAGGAGATTCTTTCTATGAGGGACCTCTTCCCGAAGGTCTCCCAATGGGTGTGGGGTGGCGATGGTTGGGCGTATGATATCGGCTTTGGCGGTCTGGATCACGTCTTGGCTTCCCAGACAGATCTCAACGTGCTGGTCATGGACACTGAGGGCTATTCTAATACCGGTGGTCAGGTCTCGAAGTCTACCAATTTGGGTGCAGTTCAGAAGTTTGCTCCCACAGGGTATCGCCGCGCTA